TTCTGTAATGAGGGGCCCAAAACTGAGCACAATGCTCCAGTTGTGGGCGCACCAGAGTCATGTAGAGTGGTAGTAATACCTCTCTTGATCTAGAAGCCACACTTCTGGCTATGCAACCAAGGGTGGCATTCGCCCTCTTGACCACCGCATCACACTGCTGACTCATGTTTAGCCTGCAGGCAACCAGTACCCCGAGGTCCCTTTCACAAGTGCTGCTCTCCAGCCACTTGTCACTTAACCTGTACTTATGACACCTATTCCTATGCCCCAAGTGCAAGACCTTGCACTTATCCACATTGAATGCCATCCTGTTGTCTCCTGCCCACTTCCATAGTCTGTCCAGCTCCTTTTGGATCTGGAGTACCTGCTCCTCAGTTGTGGCCACCGCTCCAGTTTTAGTATAGGCTGCAAATTTGATCAGCAGACTGTTCACCCCTTCTTCCATGTCATTAATGAAAAGATTAAACAGGATCAGCCCCAGGACAGAGCCCTGGGGGACCCCGCTTGTCACTGGCCACCATCCCGATGATTCCCCACTAATGTTTACCTTCTGCTTTCGGTCTGTCAACCATGCCCTAATCCACCGGACAGTGCTTTGGTGTATCCCAAAACTCCTCAGTTTCTCCACCAGGATATCATGGGGCACTTTGTCAAAGGCCTTGCTGAAATCCAGGTATTCCACATCCACTGCATCCCCTCCATCTAGCTATCTCAAAACCTTGTCATAGAATTCCACAAGGTTTGTCTGGCAGGACCTGTTTTTGTGGAAGCCGTGTTATGTGGCTGTCAGCCTTCCTTCCCTATCTAGCATCACTAGATCTCTATTATGAGCCTTTCCATTGTTTTTCCTACAATGGACATAAGGCTAACAGGTCTATAATTCCCCATGTCCCTTCTACTACCCTTTCTGAAAATTGGGACCACTGATGCCACCCTCCAGTCCTCTGAAAATTCACCCGTTCACAAAGTCTCAAAAATGGAGGCCAGCGGGTGTGAGAGAACCCCTGCCAACTCTCTAAGTACTCTCGGGTGTAACCTGTCAGG